AATGGCCATGCCACAATCTCTTCTCCTTCATACCCCTGTCAGGATCTTGGGCACACATGCACACGTGCCTGACATAAGTTTTAGGCCGCTGGATCCTGGATTCAAACCATGATTGACTATGTGGGAGTCCAGTGACGTAAGCATTATACAATCTGCTGGTTCCTGAATCTTTCACTAAATATTTTCACCAACTTGTGGAACAAGATGGCCTGATCCACAGTTGATCTATTGTTCCTTTCATTTCCCCATAAGAATTTGGTCTAGAAAGATTGACCTTTTTCTTTTCCCCTCTTTTGCCTTCATCTAGTTCCTATTTGCTTCTATATTTTGTTCAAAAAATTAACTTTGGTGTTCTTTCTGGCTATTCTTTTTTATCATATTTAATTTTGCCCAGCCATCTGTCCTGGTTTGAGTCTGTGGTTGTTTGTTTTCTTGTTTCTTTTAATTACTGACTCCCAATCAAGTGGCCCAGGGCAAATAATCACAGTCTTTTCACTCTTAGCAGATGCTAGTGTTTAATATTTTATAGGACATGTCTGGATCATGTGTATAGACTACCTCAAATTCTTTCCTTTTTCTCTCAAAATGTCTTTACAATATTTCCACTTATTCCATTTTTTCTTTCCAGCTCTCGGGAGAAAAAAAAAAAAAAAAAGGTGTCAGTTGAAAGAGACAACTGGCCCAACTACAATACCTCAGCCTACTCACTGCTGTGCAGTTAACTGCCAAAAGCTAAAATACAGTACAGTTCCACTGTATAGTGGAAAGAACACTGAGCTGCTAATCAGAAGACTTGGATTTTAGAACTGGCTCAGTCAATTTTTAGTAGTGTAAATCTTGGTAAGATATTTATATTCTGGATATTCTTCACAGATCTTCTTATCCTAAAAATAAAAAGCTACATATTTAGCTCTGCTATTCTCTTTTTGTTCTTGTTGTTGTTATTTTTTGTTTTGGAGAGGTTTTTGCTATAGGGTGCATATACTCACCAGAAAGACAGAGAGAGACAGAGAGACAGAAAGCAAGAAATCACTCCCCAGGGGGGATGGCCATGCCACAATAATTTCTCCTCCATTCTCCTCTCGGGATCTTGGCTATGCATGCACATGCACCTGGCATGAGTTTAAATCACTGGGTCCGAGACTCAAACCGCGGTCAGTTATATGGGAGTCCAGTGACATAGCCATTACGCCAACTGCTGGTCCAGCCCTGCTAGTCTTTGAGATACTATCCTGCCATTTTCTTTTGTGCTAACAATAAAGTCTCAGATTGTCCTGCCTTGTTGCCTTTCCTTCATCACTACCGTCCCACTTTCTAACCTAGTAAGTAGCTGCTTATTTTCATCACTTACCCATCACAAAATCCCAGATCTTCTCAACTGCTGTTTTTAAGTCTCTGAAAAACTGCTCATCTTACTTTCCGTAGTTCTCTTAATTCTCTCCACTTTAAAAAAAAAAATTATTTATTTTACATTCATTCACTGAACATCATCACAGCATACAAAATGCAGTTTCCCATCCAGAATACACTGTATAGTGACTTAGTCATACATATTATTGTCAAATAATTTCCCATGTCTTGTTGTTTATATATGTATCCCTTCCCCTCCCCAATTTTCATCCTCTACCATTTCCCACCCTCTTCCCACACTATCTCTGATGTCTGCAGCTGCTTTCCATTCCTTTTTTAAAAATTTCACTCAAGTATCCTATAAAAATTATTGGCTATCACCCTTTTTCAGGAATTATACTAAGTGATGGGGATACTGCATTGCTTTGGAGCCCAGTGGCAAAGACAGGAAGTAGCAAAATAATACACACATAAATGTAAAATTATAGCCATGATAGGCATTATGAAGAAGAGAACATTGCATTATGAGTATACTCACTAGGAGGATTTGGTCCAATCTGGTTTGTCTTCCAACAAGTGGATAATTAAATGAGAACTGAAGTACAAGCATAATGAAAGTGAAGGAGGGTATTGAAGAGAATGGTGTCCCTGGCAGAGAGATCAGTAAAAGGTCTTGGAGAGGAGAGAGGATAGTATGTGTGAGGAATTTAAAGAAGGTTGGCATGAAAGGTAGAGAGAGAAACAATCTGAAAAGGAAGATGATGATAGCTATGAGTGTGCTTGCCATAAGCCTTTATGGAATCTGCCTTTAATTTGAAAACAATGGGAAACCATTGTTTTAAGTGTGTGTGTGCGCGTGTGTGTGTTTGTTTGTGCTGGAGAGAGAGAGAGAGATGATATGTTAGCAAGAACCTCTTTGAAGTGTGGAGAATGGATAAGTGGATTGGAGAAGAGAGGCAATTAAGAGAAGACTGGAAGAGTCCAGGCAATAGATGATACTTTCTGTAGTGGAGATGGAGAGAAGCAGACAGATGTGGGAGGTAGAGGGTAAAACTGAGAGGTCTTGATGGCAGGACAAAAGACAGGAGTGCGTCATGGATGACTGTGGGTTTCTGGCTTATGGAGAGTAGTCAACTTTCTGGCTGTTCTTCCAATTGATCCCCAAATGTGGATGCTCCTCAATATGCTGGTCTCAACCTCTTCCCCTTCCACACTTTCTATTTGTAGACTTAAAATCCCAATTCTACAAAATATTACTGAAACCTATGATGCTAGTTACTTCAGAGATTATGAATTGGTAGACAGTTTGGCAAATAAATATATTTTACTTATCCTGTTTTTATTTTTAATTAAAAATACACAAATTATGAGTCACTTAAACAGAAGTTTTCACATAAGAATATATATTTGAAACTCTTTAAACAGTTGAAAGTCCTATCAACACTGGACCCACATTTCCTCATGTAAACAGTTGGTCAGGACTGAGTGACTGCTGACCCTGTTAGACTGAGCCTTTTCCACCTTGCCATATTCCCTGGCATCTGGGAACCTGGCCACCACATACGCTGTTTTTGACTGGCCACTACAGGAACTCTCTAAGTATCAGATCTAATTATCACCCCCGAATATAATATACTCCTGGGAAGAGGCCAGTAGGTAGCATAGTGGTTAAGGCACTAGATTTCTATGTGGCTGACCATGGTTTAAGTCCTGAATCTGGCAGCTTGAAAATCGCATAGGTCACATGTGCATGCATTCCTAGAATCCCAAGAGGAGAATGGAAGAAAAGGGATTGTGGCATGACCATTCTCCCAGGGGAGTGATTTCTCTATCCTCCCCACCCTCACAAGTGCAAACAACCTATGACAAAATAAATAAATAAAAAATAAATAAACACAGAGAAAATAGGCACCATAACCAGCATTACAACATTGAAAACTGATGGAGCAGCTTCATCAAAATCCCAAAATCTTTCCACTCTTTGTCTAAATCATACTATCACTGAACTTTAGTATTTTGTCATTTTGCAGTTAATGCTGTAGCAACCGTTAGGCCAAAGTGCTTGGGCAATGTTTCTTTTAAGTATCATACGTAGTTTATGATTATACATTTAAAATCCTTGCAATACAGATTATTTATTACTATAAAATTTTTATATATATACATACACATATATATGTATGTGTGTGTGTATATATATATATATATATATATATTTATATATAAAATTGCATGAAACATCCAAATATTACTACACAAAAGCTTACTCAAATAACTATTCTCTTTTCTCTCTCATTTTCTTCTAGAACTCTTAGAACGATCTCTAGCCCTTTTAAACAAAAGTCAACAACTCACTGACTTCATAGAAAAGTTCAAGCATGATGGACCTCACATGATTCCTGAGCTTATTCATGGAGCTCGTAGCAGCTGTCTGAAGATTGACAGCCTTCTTGAACTTCTTCAAGACAGAAGAAGGCAACTAGACAAGTACCTAAAGCAGCAGTGGCAAGAATTGAGTCAAGTTCTGCAGATATGTCAGTGGGACCAACGAGAAAACCAGGTAACCCAAAGAGGGGCTGGATGATGTCCCAACTTCAGCTAATTGATTATGAGGATTAGCCATGCCTTGAGACAGTTTCAGTCATCATGGTCAGGGCCTTTGGTCTTTGGTCTAAAACCCTTTTGTCCAAACAACGATGTTGTTTTCTGAAGACAGTAATATAAAGACAAAGATTTTTTTTTTATTTCGTTTCATTATACTACTGGATTTATAAATGAGAGAACACCTGCTGAGACTTTTGAAAATGACTGTGTTTTGTTGTTGGATTCGCTTTCTCACTTCCTTCCAGGTCACTACTTTCAGACACATTTCTTTGAAATTCTGAAATGTTAATTGCAGTTTTCTTGGAAATTGGAGGTATACTAATGGTGAATTGTGCTGCATCACTGCTAATGTCAGTATAAACGTCTGTCAGCTCAAAATAGATACTATTCTTGGAAGAGTGATTTGGTGCCAGTGAAGAAATATGAACGTGATCTATGGCTGAATGCTCAGTGCTTGAGGGTTTTGGAGGTTGATGAGTTTTCAGGCTCATTGGGGCTCATTACCCCAAATGCAGGACAGTTCTAATTGTCAGTGTGCTTACCATGCATTCCTTCCACTCCAGTCATGTGAAGTTAAGACTGACCAGCAGATGGCATAATGGTTATGTCCCTGGACTCCCACATAACCCACTGCAGTTCGAGTCCCAGACCCAGCAGCTTAAAACTCATGCTGGGTGCATGTGTGTGCATATTCAGAATCCCAAGAGAATGGAGGAAAAGGGATTGTGATGTGGTCATCTCCCCTGAGGGGTGATTTCTCACTTTTTATCTCTCTATTTCTCTAATGAGTACATGTGCCTTATAGCAAAAATTTCTCTGTTAAAAAAAAAAAGAAAGAAAAGAAAAAAGAAAAAAAGTAACCAGAACATTCTTTGCAAATCCACTACTGAAATAAGTGGGATATGTATTGCATAATTTTGAGTACCCCAATTCCATGCTCAAATCTGTACCAGTAAAGTGGAAGAAATTTTAGGGACACATTCTTTGGAGGGAGGTCTGTTCTGCATGAGCAGGAAGGGAGTCTTTCCCATGTTTTACATTATTGCACTTATGCAAAAAGGAAAGACAGACACACTGCTGAGAGCAAGCATGAGTTTCTGAAAACATGATGTTTATATCAAAGTGAAAAAAAGGACTTAAATGATGATCAATTTTACAAACAATATTTATTTCACACGTACTATATACCAAGTCTTATTATAAGTGTTGGGGATATACTAGACACCAGACAGTCCCTTTAATTTAGGATTTCCTTCTTGTATAGCCTTTCTTGGCATTACTGACATTGGTACAAGGACTCAATGTGGTGTGCCCTGTGCAGTATAAGTTGTTGAACAGCATTTCTGGCCTCTACCATCTAGGTGTCAGTCAAATATCTCAATTTGAGACCACCAAAAATGTCTCTAGATATTTTCAAATGTTTCATAGGGGAAAAAATTACCCCAGTTAAAATATCACTTGTTTTGTTTTGTTTTCTTTTAGGTTTTTGCCATGGGACATGCACACTCATCAGACACAGACAAAGAGAGGGACAGTGAAAGGGAAGGTGAGAAATCATCTCCCAGGCCATGCCACAGTCCCTTCTCCTCAATCATCCTGGAATTTGGGACATGCATACATGCAGTTGGTGTGATTTTCAAGCTCCCAGTCCAGGATTTGAAATGTGGTCAGTCATGTGGGATTCCAGCACCTTAACTATCTTGCCTGAGAATCACTGTTCTAATGTGATGAGAAGGACATGTAATAAATACATGAATAATTATAAGTGCTATAAAGAAAATTAAATAGGGCAGTGAATTTTGATGTGTGTTGATCTGCTTTTAACCAGAGAAGGGATCACAGCAGACTCTCTGAGGAGGTGGCACAGAGCAGGCAGTCCAATGCAGATGTCTTTACTCATACATTCCTGGCTTTCATTTTGCTGTCTTCCTCTCCAAGTCACCAGCCACTTTCTAAGTTACTTCCTCTTACATCACTTTTGCCTTGGCTACCATCAGTTCCTCTCCTGCTTCTGCTGTGCTTTACCTTCTAATCCTTCTCCCTTTTACCTTTTATACCCAGCCCACCATCATCTGCTCATTACCCAGATGACTACAGACAATACAATTGTCTTTTACTGATGATTCCAGCATAACGAGAAGGAATTCGTGCTCAGAAGGACTAACTTAAAATGATCAGACAACTGTTTCCAAAGTTCCTTGTCCTACTGTCTACATGGGTCCATTTATAGCTCACTCTTTTCTCTGCCTCTCCACTAATCTTGGCCTGCCATCATGCTCATGCAGCTGTTGTAACCTTCAAGAAACTTTTCTCTTGGCTCTCTTCAACTCACAAACCCAAGCCCTACCTCTAGTACTTCCAAGAGTACACTAAACACTTATCCCAGCTTTATCATTATGAAGAGTTTAGCTTTCTCAAACCTCAACTTCTCTTATCTGATTAATAGAGACATTCTCTTTCCAAAACAACGTTCATCCAAGTGGTTTTTCTGAAACAACAATTTTTCCAAGAATGAGAAAGCCACTACAATAAGTTTTATTTATTGTTTATTTTCTTTTTCTTTCTTTCTTTTCTTCTTTTTTTTGGGGGGGGCGGGGAGGAAGAGGTTTTTGCTATAGAGCACATGCGCTCACCAGAAAGACAGAGAGATAGAAAGCAAGAAATCACCCTCCAGGGGGGATGGCCATGCTATAATCTCTGCATTCTCCTCTCAGGATCTTTGGCATGCATGCTCATGTGCTCAGTGTGAGTTTAAGGCACCAGGTCCAGGACTTGAACTGCAGTCGACTACATGGGAGTCTAGTGACATAGCTATTACACCAACTGCTGGCCTCTTATTTACTTATTTTTAAAATAACAATTTTGTCTTCTTACCCCATGAGTATGGCAATTGTTATTCACTTGAGTCATCTGCAACAACAAACAAAAACAAAGAAAGAAGAAAAAGAAAGAAAGAGAAAGAAAGAAAAGAAAAAGATGAAAATTTAGAACTTTCAAAATTAACATTCTAATCTAGTCACATACTGGAGGAAAATCTAGATACTTTGTAATGCCTAGAAAGTAAAAAGAGGATTGTGAATAGCTGAAGTAAAATATTACTGAATGATTTTGACTTGTTGAGTTTTCTAGCATATAAGGTCTTATTTAAATATATATATATAGAGAGAGAGGGTGGGACCAGCAGATGGAATAATGGTTAGGTCGCTAGACTCCCACATAGTTGACCACAGTTCAAGTCCCACATGTGGTGACTTGAAACTCACACTGAGTGATTGTGCATGTATGCCCAAAATCCTAAGAAAAGAATGGAGGAGAAGAGATTGCTGCATGGCCATCCATCTGGTGGTGGGGAGTGATTTCTTGCTTACTATCTCTCTGTCTCTGCTTTTGATATGAGAATTTTTTAAAATATAGACTTTTTTAAAAAGAGCAGTTTTAGGTTGAAAGCAGAAGATATAGACTTCCCATGTCCCTTCTGCCCACTCCCTATAGCTGCCCCCATTATCACTATCCCACCCATAGTGGTTCTTTTGCTACAATTATTTTTTTCTACATTAACACATCATTATCTGAGACCAGAAATTAGTGTAATGGCTATGTTGCTGGACTCCCATGTAGTTGACCGTGGTTCGCGTCCCGGACTCGGTGGCTTAAAACTCACGCCAGGCACATGTACGTGCGTGCCCAAGATCCCGAGGCGAGAATGGAGGAGAAGGGATTGCAGCATGGCCATCCACCCTGGGGGGTGATTTCTCGCTTTCTGCCTCTCTGTTTCTGTCTGTCTGGAGAGTGCACGCGCCCTATAGCAAAAACCGCTAAAAAAAAAAAAAAATCATTATCACTCAAAGTCTTTATTTTACAGTAGAATCTACTCTTGGTGTTGTGTATTCTGTGTCTAGGCAAATGTATGACACATATATCCATTGTTATATATTTATTTATTTTTGAGACATTTTTGCTACAGGGTATGTATGCTCTCCAGGGAGACAGAGAGAGACAGAAAGTGAGAAATCACCATCGGGGGGATGGCCATGCCACAATCCCTTCTCTTCCATTCTCCTCTCAGAATTTTGAGCATATACACACATATGCCTACCATGATTTTCAAGCTGCCAGATCTGGGGATTGAATCATAGTCGACCATGTTGGAGTCCAGCACCTTAACCACTATGCCACCTGCTGGCCCCAAGCACCTAGTTGTTTACAACAAAATGATAGTAGCATTTTTTTTTCCTGTTTGTGACTTAATAGTGCTCATTTGTTAAAAATATTGAGGAGATCATTACCCACGCAGATGATTGTTACTAGCATTTGACATACAGCTACCTGCTAGACTTTGATCCAAGCACTAGCATAGCCACAGACACAGACACATGAACAAACAACTAAGCATACATGTTAACCAACAACAACTAATGGAATTTGCCTAAATATACTATATTATAATCTGATATTTGCCAAAGAAAACAAATCATAGACATATTCTTACATCAAAGTAGAATGAGTAATTTTAATGGGTAGATAGTATTCTGCTATTTGAACATAATTTAAATAATATCTTACTGATAAGGAGGTACTCTCTTTAGTTTTTCAATATTATAAGCAGTTATTAATGTGTACCATGCTGATAATCACCTGACTAAGCAAATGTTTTAAAATCCAGGTAAGAATAAGTATAAATTATTTTATACTTATTCTCAATAGCAGGAGGGACACCAAATTGAGTATGACTCCAATAGCTAGTAATTTGGGTTCTATGATTATAATGTCCCTGGAAATGATATACTTGATAATCCTAGAACGTTGTAGAACTTGCTTCATTGGATGACAAAGATTCTTTTTCAGTTCTGAACTTATTTTAAGGAAACATGGGAGCTGTCACACTTCACATTAATAAAATATCAGCTTTGACAATCACTTTAAGTACTTAAGAAAAAAGGAAGCAAGTGATAATTA